TTCATGGCAAAGTGCTACTTCCAGCTTAAGTGTTTAGCGTTCTGGAACACTGTTGGATTTTGAAAACATACCATGTGGTAATGGTGCTAGGCTTTTATTTAGCTTTGCTTTGTGTTTGTACTGGCTGTATTTTCCAATCTCCAATTTCTGGGGGAAAAAAAACACTCTTGTGACCAATTTTATTTGAATTTACCAAGTTGAATGGCAAAAAATTCTTTTAAAATAAAATTTAGATGCTTTGATAAATTTAGTGGTATATTATTCTAGCCATTCTATGCTTTGAGATGCCATATATTCTGTACTGTACAGCTGAAGATTGAGACCAACTGGAATAAATTACAGCTGTACTTATCAGGGAAATGAAGAGGCATAAATACTACCATTGAGGCTGTCAGGGAATATAAGTGGAAGAAACTGACATCACCAGTTGTACCAGCACAATTTGATAATTTTGCACTAAAGACAAGCTTTAGAATTAATGCGAAGGCATTTTCTTATGTATAGACGGTATGCCAAAGCTTCCTGTCTGATTTTAATTCTTGATAATACCAACTAACCATGTGACTCTGAACCTGAGCAGTAACAACACAGCAGGTGACTTGGGAATAGGTGCTTCTTCAAACTTCACCTGTGAACACAGAAAATGATCTTCTGTCTGCAGGGGTCGGGGGCTCGTTGTGAGACAATTTGCAAGGCTGTCTCTGTGTTGATTACTGCCTGCTTGCCTTCCTAATGGCATATAAAGGAATATCAAAATTCAGAAGGAAAAAAAATAGCAGTTTCTCTTGTGATCTCCGTGGCCCATTACTAACCTTCCTCAAATTTACTGTATATCTCTAATTGAACACATCAGTTCAGTTTGATAACGGAAATGTACTGTTACTCCCACAAATGCTTTCCGATCCATCACTGCAGATTTGTCATGGTTCTCGTGGTGAAACGACTTGCACTGAGGCAAATTATATCTCACTTCACCAACTACATAATCCGCATCACTCAGTTAGTTACCTGTGTCACTTCTTTTCCTCAAAGAATAAACTCTGGGGAAAACAAAAGCTGTATAATCAAGTATATACAGAAAAGAATCATTTAAGATGTGTGTTATGATTCTGAGCAAATAAAGGAATGTAGGAAAAGATAATTCATTTGACTTTCACACTTGAAAATTCTCCTTTGTGTAGACATGATAGCTTTAGACACTGAAGATTACATGTTCGTCATCTGCTTAGTCACACCACAGTGATTGGTGTTACAGAGAAGGAGCTAGAATCCTATACCTGCTCAGTGAATATTTTATATAAATATTATATGTTTATTTCAAATCTTAGACAATTTTTAGACTATGCCTGGAAGAATTATAGTTATATAAAAAGTTGTACTCTATTTATTCCTGGATCCTTCTCTCACTCCATGCACTTTTGTTTACTTGTATTACTTTTTACAAAAGTTATCATATGTACATGATAAAAGCTCCAAATTAGTAAGAGGAGTTGAAAAGGAAAAATAAAAATCTCTCATGTCATTGTAAGAACTGCTAAACAGAGAACCCCTATTTTAACTATTAAATATTTTGTTCTGATGATCTCTATACCTCTAAATAATAAATGAATTATCTTTTATGCTAGTTTCATTAACTCTAAACCAGTGCTACTCAAAGTGGTCTATGGATCCACGCCCATTTGTGGACTGTATTATTATTGGTCTACGATGAGATAAGCATACAAAGTAAGACTAAGTCTTTGGAAACTTTTATAGCTATTTAACATTTTTATTATATTTTAAAAAGTGCTGGTCCATATGTTCAGAAATTAAAACAAACTGGTCTTTTATCATAGATAGTTTCAGAAGAACCACTTTGGAAAAATGTGATCCCTTCCATTAAAAATGGTAAATCATTTCTCTTCAGTTTTCTCTACCTTATTGTCTTCTTGCTTCTCCGAATTAATTTAGATATATTAAATTATTGTACTGGTCACCTTTGTAACTTAAAACAGTACCTGGCACAAAATATAGAAGATATACATGTGTAAATCTATATGTCTATAGATATATAATATATAGATAATATATTAATGTGACATTTATTCAAAATTTTTACCTTTTATAATTAAATTCTATATTAAATGATACACATAAACATATGTAATGCCACCTGTTAACTTGGGCAGAATCTCATGATCAACTCCATGGAAGTTAGGGCTCTTATAGGTCTCACCTCTTCTTTGTCCTCCTCATTCCCAGTGTTATATGGAAATTTCATTATTTACAATCTTTTGCATAATTATAATTAAATTAGACATGCTTGGTTGAAAGGTTATATAAAATTAAAAATAATGATATCTTGAATAATTCATATATAATTATTAATATTATTAACTGATGCACTCTAGGTTATGACCCATATCCTCTATAAATTTTAACAAATCTCTAAGCCTATGCCCACTCAAAGGAGAATTTAAATGTTAAAGGGATTCTCTTTTCCTACATTGCTTTAATTGCTCAAAATCATGATGCATATGTTAGTTGCTTCTTTATTATACATAACTTTATTAAACAACTTGCTATATTTCCTTGGAGTTTATATGTTTTTTCTTCTTTCTTCTTGACAAAAGATGATTGTGCTTTTTTTTCTACCCTTACTATTTCCATGGCAGTTTGTATTAAAATACACCTGACATTTTGAACAAGTTACATGTCTTGGTATTATTATATATCTGTTAAAGAAGATGATGTGGATACAAAAAGATGTTAGGAATGAGAGAGAAATTTTATAATTTATCTAAATTTGAAAATCTGTGACTTAAAATATTTTAGAGTTCTGTCAGCTTTCAGGTTTTTCGGGGAATCTGGGCTCTAAAGCAGCATTTTTGAAAGGGTAACCCATGAACTTACCAGTGCAGGATGGCAGGAGGATAGAGCTTGTGAACCTCCATTTTAGCCAGCTCCCCTGATTAACTGTTGGCATGCCAATGTTAAAGAATGCCTGCTACAGATCTATAGCTAGACCATAATAAGTTGTTTAAAATAAACCATTATCATAGAGATTCTTTGGCAAAAGTATCAGGAATCCCCTGCCTTATAAATATTCCTGTTTTGACTATTAGGTAGTTTCTCCGTTCTCATTCTTAAGCTCTATACCTCCAGCATGTACTTCTTAAGTCACAGAATGAGTCTTGCTTGCAATTTTCTGGAGTTTTTGGCAATGTCCGGGATTCACCACTATGATGTAACCACATGCAACAAACATGGAGGATATCCTGATTTATTTCTTGTTTTTGCTTTAAAAAATGCAATGAAATGTGAGGCATACTGGTAAATGATCAAGTAAGGCTCAATTTTCCTTAGTTTCACCTGCTCATCTAAAAAGATATTTAAATGATACTGGGCTGCCTTTTCCATAAAATAAGGTAAATTTGCATAATCAAGTTAATATTTAAAAATAGACACACAAATCCTTTCAAGGAACTAAGAAAGGGAATAGGATAAATGTGCTGAAGTGCTGCAGCCTAAGCTTTTTATCTTATACCTAACTTGGTATAAGATAAAGTTGGAGATGAGAGAGGCCATGTCTGATTACTGATGGGTAGTGAGGGATATACTGGATGATGACAAGTGACCGTCTAGACAGTCACAATTATGAAATGAAACAGGGAAGAACACACAACACTGCCTTAGAATAAGCTGAAATGTTCCCAAACTCTATCCCCATGATGAGCTAGAACCTCCTCTTGTGCAATTGATTGTAATCACACAATTCATGCTGGAGTGTTTTATTTGTATACATGCATTCTTATATAGTTATAATTTATAAGTGTATATATATTATGTATATATATATATTCAGTCATATATAATTATATACATTCAGTTTTATTTTATAATAATAATTTATGTATTTTAGTAACTATATTAACTACAGTTAAATATGTAAACATAGTTATACAACCTTATACATAATTACAGTTATACATGTTTACACACATATATAAAAAACTAAATAATACATACAGATAGACAGAAGGATAGACAGACTTTGCAAAATAACTGGGAAACAGAAAATGATCAATATATTTGAGCTAATGTAGTTGTGCCAATCACTGTGCTAAGCACTTTCGAGTGCCATTTCACTTAATACTTACAGTGACCAAGTGAGGTAGGAATTAGTGTCACCGTACTTCAGAAAAGAAAATTGAGACCTAAGAGAATGAGGAACTTGTATGAGGTCACTAAGATACTGAGTGGCACAGCTCTCAACTCATTTATTACAACACGACCCTATTTCCCAGTACTTTTAGAGATTATTAAAAATTGTGTTGCTACCCTATCTCTATGCTAGTGAAAGCACTTAAAATATTTAATGTGAGAGGATGGCTAAATCCATTAGGAGAATAATCAAGAGGCTGTAACTGTCCTGAATAAAAGCATCTACGTGGAGCCAGCTGACAGCATTTGCACCCTGGCCCCACCCAGACAAGCCGCTTAACCCTCTATACCCGCATTACCTCATCTTTAAAATGGAAACAACAAGAGTCATCTACTCAAAGGTTGGGGACGATTAAATGAATTCACAGAGGTAGTGTTTAGAGTAGTGCCTGGCTACCGGGGAAATGCAGCCAATGTGTTAGTTATAAATATTTTTTTCTTTCAAAATTTAATTAATTTTACCATCTCCATTTTGCTGGAAATATTATTTGCTACGTTAAGTCTTCCTCAAACTGTCTTTCATTTTTCACATCATACCTTGTTTCACACACAAAAAATCTGTTTTTATGATGGACATCTGTTAATGCTTTTGTGTTTGTTTTTAGCCTAGCATCTTTTCCCTGCGGGAACTTCCCCTCTCCCCCTTGGAGGGGGCTCGTCGGATGGGGTGGGGAACCTACGGCCTTCTGATTTCAAGATTGTTCTTTTTTAAGCACCAAAGGAGGCAAGAAAAGTGTCATCTTTCTCTGCTGCACCCCTTTTAATAAAAGGATTTGTTCTGCAAAATTTGGATTCAGTCAAAAGGCTGCACTTAAGGACCTAGAAGGCTACATTTCACCTTAAGGTTGCAGGTTCCCCACCCCCACCAGGCTCCTGAGGTGATTGCTTGATTGTTCCCAGGGTATTATGGGATGTAAACATGGCCAATCAGTGCCCCTTTCAGAGACTCTACAGCTACTGAGAGATGATCCCTCCTCCACTCTAAATCATGCACAATAAGCAGCACATAAGCCTGGAGCTGCTGGGAGATCACTTTTTACCACATGAAGAGTCTGCCTCAGAAGGAGTCATCCTAAAGTAAAAGGGAGCTGAGAGATGGAGAAACAACACTTGATCTTTAAGATCCAGCTGAATCTGAGGTTTACCTTTTGTACTTCTTAGTTCTGTGAGTCAATATATTATTCTGTTTGCCTAACTTAGTTAGAGATAGGTTCCTATTGTTTAAACACAAGAATCCTGATTAATTCACTGATATCAATAAATTATTAGTAAGCATATCTCCAGAATGCCGGCATTCATTATCTTAGCAAGAATAATTAATGAGTATAAAATATTGCTGGAGGTTTCTAAGTATCAAGCCATAAGAAATAAGCACCTTTGGGTATACAACAATGTATAGTGTAAAGAATGGAGACAAACAATTTCAAGTCCAAGCCCTTGATTTCAAGGTCATTGTGTGACGTTAGGCAAAACACTAACCTAAGCAAACTACTCATCAGAGGATTGCTGTGAGGATCAAGCAGCACCATGACTACTTAAGTACCCCAATGTATAACTATTATATTGTAACAAGTCCATATCTATATTAACAGAAATAATACATGATAAAGGAATTTTTCATTCTGACACATCTATGGCATGTTATAAAGACTTTATAATATTTACTTTTGCTTTTTCATGCCACGAAAAAAATACAGCAAGCAATGTATCCAAAGAACACTGGGGAAACATGCACATAATTTCTGAAACTACACAATCAATACTGGTTATTAAACAGGGCAAATGCTTAGCTTAGTGTTCTGCTGTCCTCATTCTAATGCAAATCTTTGGCTCACCCACACTTGACTTTACAGATGTCTCTCACATCATTTATCTCATTCAGTCTTTATCACAACTTTGCTATGGAGACAGAAATCATTACCACGTTTTATAGATGAGGAAGTGAAGCCCAAGGAAGGTAAGAGATCACTAATTAGAATGACAGAGAGGACTGTATCTCAAACTGCTTGACCACTGACCTTGATCTTTGATTTCAGCATCATTGAGGTGCCTAGATTTTTATTTCCCTATATCTGGATTCTTGGTGTTACTGGTGTGGTATAAAGCATATAAAGCATCTTGAGACTAAAAACTGATCTAATACTGGTTGTGATCTTTTGCCAGATACTAGTTTTCCTTGTGTGTTTGTCATATCCTATATGCTTAAAATTATTTGGCAACAATTCCATTATAACTTCTAATGAGGGAATTCTTTGTTCTCAGCAAGATAATGGGATAGAACCTCGGCCAGTAACTGCTTTTGTAACACCTCAGCTGACATTATGACATACTAGAACTTTTTTCTATATTCAAGCATAAGTTCTGTTCATATACCAGCAGTTAGAAAACTCATTTGCCATCCAGAGCTTCAGCTAGCAAACACTATAATTCCTGTGCCTTAAAGGCAAGGACATGCCAGAAGGAGGTACTAGGAGAGAAGCCAGTTAATTCCCAAACTGATACTTAGTTATTTGAAAAAGTGAGGGTTATATCTTCCACCTGAGCTTCCACTATTTTGTCTGAGTGGTAGAAAATTTTTAGTGCTTACGCATTTCTATAGCCAAGTAAAATGCATAATTCCTATTCGAATATAAATGTCTTTTGAATTATCCTGTGAAAAATTCCTTCTTGCTGAAATGCCATTGCTCTTCCTTCCCATTTTTCAGTGACTGGCCTATGTTCTGTCTCTACCAAAAATAAAATTCTGACTAGTCAAGTCCATTACCCTCTCCTGAACTTGGAGACCCTGATTTTATACCTAGCTAAAAATTCAAGGAGATAAATTATTATTTTTCCAAATTCATATAACTCATCTCCCCAACTAGCTGTCAAGTTCCTTGAAGCATATTACGTTCTGTCCTCTACTTTCATATTACCTATGATGTGTATGTTTTGTGATTCCTCAATAACTATTTCATGAGCCTTTGATATCTATGCTTCTGGTCTTTGTTACCAGTAATAACTAAAGGTTCTATAGCTGTTTATTTCTGGCCTAAATAGGTTAAAGCCACATAGCTGAGCAAATTTCCCTGATAACATAGAGGGCATCATTTGTTCCACTACTCTCCCTTCCCTGTCCCCCCAAAATTTAAAGCACTAATATTATTTCCCCAATGCCCTATTCCTGTATAACAAGAAAGTGTCTGATTCGCTTCAGTGATAATCCAGATTTGTGGTCTACTAACCAGAATCAAGTTATTTTACTGAATTTCTGGATAAGAAATATCAGTCATAATAGTTAACTCTTTAGAGGTAATGCTTCCTAACAGTGGTACTGGTCCCAAGGCTATTTGAAAATTCTCTCTTTTCTGTCTCCTGGAAAAGAAACATAATTACACCTTATTTTTTGTCTTTGTGGAAATATCATAAATATTTAATTATTCCTTTGGCATACCTGATAGTTCTTTAATAGGCCATAGATTCCTTTAAGATATATCCATCTAGCTATGATTTACAACTAATTAGAGGATGTTAAATGATGTTGCTAATGGTAACTTACATGTCTGATAATGCATAGCTCTTGCCATTTAATACAAACAGCAATAACAGGTGTCAAATAAGAGATGTTTATCTACAAATGGATTAGCCTTTTTAAGTGGTGAAAATATGAACAAACAGAATGAATTCAGAATTAGACATTGCCTGTAAACTAGAAAAGAAGTAGGACTAGTGGTAAAAGGATGTACGCTCAGACTGAGCATGGATTCTGGCCCTGCCACTTACTAGTTTTGTGATTTTGACTGGTGGTGTCACTTATGTTTGGGTTTTGTCATTTGAAATATAATTATAATAGTAAAACCTATCTTACGGGACTTTTATGAGAATTCGATAAACTCCAAAGTATATTCACTGAAGAACTAACTCTTTTCTGAGCATCATATGAGTCATTTTCTCTCTTCCATCAGCTCCTGCTATTTCTTTGAAGACTACTTCTTTTCTTTTAAAAGAATGGAAATATTTATTAAGAAGAATATAACTCTAAACAAAATTGCCAAAGCAATCTCTCTTAAAGAACTCATCAGAGATATTAATACATATAGGAATTATACATAAGGATGTTCTAATACTAAACAAATAGAAACAACATAAAAATTTCAGGGAAATGGCCAAATAAAATATTATATATACTTCAAAGTCACACAGAGGGAATCAATAGACAAAGAACTTGGCATACTAATATATGTAATATATAATTAAAATATCAATGTCATAAAGTTCTTGTGTTGGTAATAATTGCAGAGTGTTTAACACAGAACCAGACACATGGTAAATAAGCCCTTACTAAAGATTCATTATTACCATTATATCAATGTGTAAATATTTATGAGTTCTAAGGAAATACACCAAAATATGAACACCTTATTTCTGGTTGTTTCATTTACCTCTTAATATATATTTCTCAGTGTCCACATTTCTCTATTACATCTATATATCCCACCCCGATCAATTTGTGCCTTCGTGCCTCCACTTTGGTAGCCACTTTGCAATGAGCGTTTATCAATTTAATAATTCACAATTAAATTAATAGCATAACAACTTAAGGGTAAAACCATTATCATTTTTGAATGGAGGATATTACCTTCATGAGAGATTTCCTTCCAGGGATTTGGTGGATACATGAAAGCTGCATTCTGGATTTGGTCGTGTATGTCTTCATCTTCATTAAATGGGAACGTGCCACTTAGGCTGACATAGATGATGACCCCAACAGACCACATGTCTAGAGAGCGATTATAGCCCTTGTTCCTTAGAACCTCGGGAGCCAGGTAAGCAGGGGTGCCCACCACTGACCTCCGGAAAGACTTCTCTCCAATGATCCGGGCAAAACCAAAATCACAAAGTTTTACCTGTTGACAGTAAGGATTTGTAGAAATAGTTAAGTTCTTAGTGCAGGTCTACCTGAGACGATCATAATACTCCTCCATAAAACGATATGGATTTCTCATGATAGAAGTAATAGCTATTTTCTATTTCACGTACTCGAAGACAGTGGTTTGTGTACTGATACAACATTTTGTTTTCATTCATAAAAATATCATCTAAACTCCCTTTTCCTCCCCCCCCCAAAACCAAGAGACAAATGTAAAAATAAGCATACTTAGAAGTAGGTAATATTGTTTATGAGGCAGGAAAACATTATGCAAATCAGGGAAGAGAGTGATGAAGAGTAAGTACAGAGACGTGTCACATCATTCACAATAATCCTCAACATCAGCTCCGCACTGGCACATAGGCAGGCCCTGAAGGTGTCGGGGAAGCGAGGCGGGACAGCCAACTTGGTCAGGTCACTTCAAGTCTATAATACCCTAGGGAGAGAGCTGCTTGTTTTCCACTGTCTGAGTTGAGGAGAGGAAGAAAGTTTTGCCCTTGTCCTTGAAATCAGCAGTGAGTTGAATGTCATGACCGACACTAGAGAGCCAGTAGCATCCCTGATGAAAACAAGTAGGAAAACCTTGAAACAAAAGGGTTTTGAGTGGAAAAGGGAAGGTGGCAGGACACTGTATGGGAGCCAGTGATGCTGTCAGCTGGCTTTTTGCTGAGAGAGGCTTTTATACTTGCCTGGGGAAAAGGATCAGCTGATGCTAGCAACACGTTTTCTGGTTTGAGGTCACAGTGAACGATATTTTTAAAATGAAGATGCCGCAAAGCCACAAGTATCTATAAAGAAGAAAATCACCAAAACAATTTAATTTCAGCCTATTAGTTTATTTCTAAATGTTTTATACCAGGACATAAATTTAAAAGGCCAAGAGTAAACCCACAAGGAATAGTCAAGTTTCTTATGTTCAAGACACTGAAATAAGCTAAATTAATATAGCAGGCTTTAAAGGAAACGTCAATGGAAAAAGTAGCATATGATGGTATTCATACAGGAACCAAGACAGGTGTAGACAAGGGACCTACAGTATCTAACATGGATATCCATTCTTAAATATTTTCCAAGAACCAGGACGAAACCAATGTACATTTTTAAATTTCATGAATAGTTTTAATACATGGGCCTGCATACCAGTTACTAGTTTGGTATACTGGACTCTGAATAACATAGACATAAATCAGGAAATACAATGAGCCACTGCAACCTTTTCTAGTATAGTTTAGATGGGAAGCAGGGACTATACAACAAGGGTAGAAAGCTGTGTTTAAACAGTGATAACATTTGATATTAAATATTATCTTTTTTCTATCTCTAATTGATTTCTTACCTGAGTAATTAAAAACTTCGTTATGTGCTCTGGCAACCTGCCCTTTTCACTTGACAAGATCATCTCCAGCATGTCTCCATGGAGTTTTTCCATAACAACAAACACTCTTTCAGGCGTCTCAAACATACACTCCAAATTTACAACACCAGGGTGATGAAGGTTCTATTAAAGATAAATAAAGCACTTGAAGAAAATGAGTTTTTTGATACTGTTTGGCAAGCTTGCTGATTATACAAAACTGTTCAAGCTTAAAGCTATGGAGAAACCCACATTTAAGATTTTTAACACCTCTACATTCCACATGTGCTGCCTTATATTTTTAAAATTCTAATGTCTCCAAAAAATACATCTTTACTTTCCATGCATAGTGAAATTATTTCTATGCTAAAAATTCAAGTTCCAGCATAGTGAATTGCTAATCAGGTCTTAATTTGATTACCATCTTGAGAAATCTGTAATTTCTTAGGATCTGTAATCTGTAATCTGTAATCCCAATATTAAAGATACTGGGATAAATAAACATACTAGGCTATTTCTACACCGTTGGTAGAAATCTAATGTAGTAAAGATGAAATTCATACATGTAGTACACCTGACTGCACTGAAGAAGCACCTTAGTCAAAACATTTTAGAACTGCTCTGGCACTGCAGGCTTCAGCAGTTTGTTCAGAAGCTCTTAACGCTAGTGAAGATCATCATGAAAACAGCAAAAAAGAATCACTGAGCCCCTGTTTTGTCCAGGACACCATACTGCATGGTCATGCTGCATGGTTCTCAAGCACTCAATAAATACAGCTGGCCCTGGAACATGGGTTTGAACTGTGTGGGTCCACTTATATGTGGATTTTTTTCAATAAATATAGTTGGCCATTAGTACTGGCATCCTCAACCCAACACAAGGAGAAAATAACAGTATTTATGAGATGTGAAACCTAAGGACAGTGAAGGACAACTTTTCGTAAATGTTTTTGCAAGGCCAGCCGTAGGACTTGAGCAGCATGCATGGATTTTGGTATTTGTGGGGGTCCTGGAACCAACACCCCATGGATACCAAGGGACTACTATATTTCCACAATAAATTAATGGCTAGTGATTGTAGGCTGCATTTTGCTTGATATGTTAATTATCACGAATGTCAAATAAAATTACTCTTAGCACTAGATGGTCCCTTGTAATAATCCTAAATAGATCCTAAATCCTTGTTGTTCTAGGTCATCAACAAAAGCCTTTGATCATTTGACCTTTTTTCCTCTGTACAACAAAAATTCCTAACATTAGAAAAATAATTACATATTCCATTACATTTCAATGAGAGACAGAAAAAAAAAACCTCATCATGAACAAAAACTACCTACACAAAAAAAGCAAGGACAAACTTAAATATGCTAGCAGTTGAATAGAGAAAAAAAATTAAATTTTTTTTTTTTACTTTAGAAAAAAAACTCAGTGAGTGATAAAACTGTCTGTAAATTGAAATTTAAAACCTGAAATGGCTCACTATGCATCAACTTCACAGATGGATGCTGGGTGGTGAGCAGCAGAAGGGGTTGTGAAGGAATCTACACTGTTGTCGTTGTCCTCTGAACTACCCATTTGCAAGGACAGCCTGGCATGAACCGATACAGAGCCATGCTACGGTTGGCAGTAGCTCCCATGATAACTGTCTCTTAGAGTGTCTGTTCACTACTTTGTCCATTTGGATCTCTGACTCAGACATCTGATGGGTCTCTTCCATTCTGATGACAGGGGGCCCCATCATGCAGTGTGATGTGGTCGTGGAATAGCAAGTTTATGAATGTGATCGGAGCAGATGCCTAAACATCCAACCAATAGCTTTTCACCTCTAGACGGCTAGAGTCATCTTTCCTGAAACTGCTGCACTGTTAACAGGTCAAGTCTGGCTACTTCAGATAGACTTGGCCTCCAGAGTTGTTCTCTCTTGGTCAGATCTGAAGAACACGGAGAGAGGGTGGGGTTAACAGAGCTCACACTATCACTACTCTTATTTTATTTGTCATGACTACCTACAAATAAGACCAGATAACCAGTTGGCTTTGACTGTTACATTATGGGAGTGCCAGATCTGTAGGTGGGAGACGAATATGACTACATATACCTATTTGATGTGCACCATGGAATATAAGTGATAGCATTGTTCATACCTGAACCTGTGCCCCAGGCTACTTCATTTTTTAAAAAAATATATATCCCTTTACCTGATATGGGAGTCATACTGACTGGACATACCACTGGCCTCTGGGTGTCCAACGATCTCAGATGTTCTCTTTCAAATCCATAATCATAGTAGAAGCTTTAGGGATTAAGTGAGAGTGTCCTGCTGGAGTTCTGATTCTCCTGAGACAAGTCTACTATGAGATGTGCTAAGTACACCTTCCTCTCTGAGCATCTTCTTAACTGGTTCTTTTTTCCCTTTAATCTAACTTTAATCACTTAAATACTATTCTGGGGAGTTTGGCTTCCTTGAATGGCCAAGGCCTCATTGTCTGGATGGGGAGCAATAACAGCGAACAGGAGAACAGACCAATAGAAACAGAGCAGGGTTAGGGGGTCACTTTTATGTAGGCAGAAGAAAAATTAGTGTGAAGGAAGAGATAAAGATTAAGGGAGAATGACCTTGGAACCCCAAGGAGGAATGAGGAGGACAGATGTGGTGTAGTAGTTGCTCAGCCTGCTGCTTCTGCTGACCTCATCTTAGTCCCTGCAGCTCGGAGGAATGGAGAGAATCCACAGATGATCAGGAAGTTCTCCTACCTAAATTACCTGTATATATATGTATATATATGCAATGGCAGTTCTCACATGCCTCTACCTGGATTCCTCTAGGTACATGAGTTCTTAGAGTTACTAAACTCTTTCACTCAATATATTCCTTTTTCCTTTTCCCTACTCCACAACAGGTCTTGAGGAGCCTCTACACAAAAAGCAGAACTTTAACATTTGTTTATCTAATTGGTGTATTCCCAGAATGTTCTAGGCCTAAAGTATGGGACAGATTAATGGGAGTGTTTACCATCAACTATTTTGTGCCATGTTCACTGTAAGTTCTGAAGGACTCTATAAATGTCCTCTAACAGCATCTTTATGAAAACACTAAGGGAAATTTTTGGTATGTCACTGTAAATGACTTTGCATATGGTTGGGTATGTGAATTATTTAAAAAATACGTATTCAATAGAAGCGTTGGACTCAAGGCCAAGTATAAACAACTGATAAAAAATGTTTTAGTAAAATTTAAACTCATACATTCTTTGCACTTGACCTTTGCTCTTTTATAAAAATCTTCATGCTTTATAATTTTCCTACATTGAGTGATAGCTGATAAATTTTATATGCTTGAGACAAGGCCATCATAGATGTTTACTCATGAGCTGTATGTTTTTGCATTGAACCAAATGAACAAACTTGTTTTTACATTTGACAGTAACCCAAGAAAATAAAACAGAATATAGAGAATCATGCCTTATTTATCCAAACTCCCTGTACTATACTGATGAGAAGTATGTCTTTAGCCTAGAGAATGTATTTAAAGAATGGAAATTTTTAAAAAAGTTAAAGCTATTATTTTTGTATTTTCATGTATAATATAACTTATGTGATCATTTTAATACCTTAAGAACAATTTTAAGATTAGTTTCAACCAAGGTGGTCCATGTGACTTTTCATATGAAGTTTTAATTTTCATATAAAATAGTTTTTTAACTTTCCCCTCCTAAGTAACGGAATTAATTAAAAAATAACAAGAAAACCACAACATCACCTATGGCATAGTGTGGGCAAAAAGAATTTTTGCTAACTTCTCAGGCTTTCCTCAGAAATTCAGATAAATTTCATACCAGAGCAAGATACTACAGGACTCTCCGGCCATCTGTTTGTTGCATTTAAGTAATTTCATTTTCAGGAAATGAAACATTTGGCCAAGTAAAGGAAAAAATAGTGTCCATTCACACATAACAGATTGATGACATATCTGTGGGGTGAAAAGAAGTAGTTTTGAAGCCTGGGAGGAAATATCATTTGGAGATTAAAGACAAAAACTTTCCTGACCCAAGCTGCCTAGAAAATTTATTTCCATAGATTAATGTAAACTGGTCACTATAATCAAAGTATTTATAAAAGTAATAATATTTTATTAAGAAAATAATTAATATTAGTTTTTTATTTATAGGTACATTCTGATTTACGAGAGCTGTCTGGAAAGTATCCAGCCATGTAATATGAAAATTGCATATTAACAATGGCTCCATACTTTCCGGACAGCCCTCATATGTTTCTATATTTATGTTAAATAATATTCTTTAATATTGATACATAATTACTTATATCCTCTAATTCTAGTAGTGCTGCTTTACTGTAAATCTGGAGTTGAGAATTTGTTCCATATACATAGTTGTGATAAAAAGTAAAGCTGTCATGTTTTCCCCTTCTTTCTTCCACCTTCTCATTTAGGATTATTCTAATCAAACATATGAGAGGTGAAAAAAGAGGAGAATTAGATTAAACATATCCTTTCAACAGGTTTTCAGGAGCAATAAGGGAACTTCTGACTACTTTTCTATCAATAAACTAAATGATTTAGTTCATATTGAGCTAGGGAAAATAAATTTAAAAGTGATGAGCCCAGGATCTAAATTCTAAATGGTATACACAGCAGAAGGAAGGACACTCCACTGCACAGCAGTATAGGTGGGGGTGGGAGGTGGCTTTCTCAGAGGTACAGTTCTGTAGCGATGGCTTTGTTGATGCTCATTCCTGTCAGTTTGCCAGGGTTGAAAGAAGTGCACACCATCTTATCCATTTCCTGATTACAGTCTCTTACAACTATGCTCCATTTAATGGTACTGGAAATCACAATCACCTAATGACTTATAAAAGGAAAATAGACTGTAATTCCCTGATAGATGCTAAAGAGTCATCTTGTAGAGAACAGATGATTATAAAAATACTTGTTAAAGATAATACTCAAGTCAATATGGTAAGCTCCCCTGAATTGCAGTCTTATATCCTTTTGGGTATGTTCATTTAAATGAAAGAGGTCCAACAAAAAAAATCAGTGTCTCTCCCATCCAACCTTTCTCTTCTGGTGCTACTTCTCTTGGTAAATGGTGAACCACCTAGGTCAGAAACCTGGGAGTCATCCTAAA